CTTGCAGTCTGGATGCATCAAAGAGAACTGCACAGAAAGTTTGCAGAAATGAGTCGACATTTCACAGAAAATCTGATTTGTTAGCTTTAGATTCTGATTTCATCCAGACATGTTTCAAACATGTTTGCTATTTTGAGCCGATTTGTCACACGTCTGTTGCATTGTGTTCGGAACGACCTGAAAGTCTGTTAGTGTGTGATCCTTTTTAGGTTTAGTCTTTTCATATTACAAGTTTTCAGAAATGTTGCAAATGAGGCATTATTTAATATGCACTCATTTGCATACATTTCCAGAACAGAAATCTGAATATTGATTAAAGCCAGATTCACAATTCGTTGATTTTGTTGACATATTAAAGGTTTTTGGATTTCTTGTTTTACTTCATAAATAAGAAACTACTGTCAACAGACAGAAAATAAAGAATTTTTAGGAATACAATTTTTTAAATCAGTGAGAATGATATATGAACAAACCCTTCAGTACAAATATAGATATTTATATTTAAATATATGTACTGAAATTGAAATCTACAGATGCAAATAGATGAGGTGCAATGAAATAAACACTTAAAAGTGTATTTTGAACAAAACAGAACAAAATCTCAAAATTCACCAGTGCATGAAAAAACTGTCTTTGCCTGTAGTGTCTTCTAGATCGAATATTGCTCAAGAACTACACATATACTTAATAAAATGTATAAATCTGGTTTTGTTTTTTAAATGATTAGGCACGACAGTAATCCTCCCATATTCTGTCATCAGTGATGCTCATAAACCATGACTCAAATCGATCATAAGGAGTGAGTTTTGCCACTGTCACTGGCATCTGCCCAAAAGCTGTAGGCGAAAACATTAATGAAGCAATGAAGAGTTTGACACGGGCCAGTAAATAACCACAATTAAGACAATTAAAAACACATCGCAACATGTTAAAAAAACACTCAGAAGACTTAGCAAACACCCTATGCATTGTGACTGTTATTTCTTTAGAATAAAGATAGATCATAATGTCATACTGACTGTTATATTAGGATCACGTGTGATCAAGTGGACCGTTTTCTTACAGATTAAAAAACTGGCAATGTTTACCTGCCTTTGATTCAATGCAACGACTGAAAATAAACACCTGCATCTAATAATGTGCATTGCTTACATGAGTCCTTAATGCAAGTGAAAGAATGCATGAGAGAGAGAGAGAGAGAGAGAGAGAGAGAGAGATGAGATGCAGTCGTCAGGGGAGCTCTAAACAACATCTCCATCTCTCTCTGCATATGTGAAGTCACGGCTTGCCAAAATGGCAATATGACATCGTTTGGGTTTTTCAGCACATATGCTGCAGTTTCAGGCTTTGCCAAAACACCTAAACCCACTCGCTGGCGCTGAGGGTCAGACGGCAGCAGAAAACAAACACGCAAACACAAATAAGGCCTCAGGGGAAGGCCATCGTTTATCATTATTTATGGAGTAATGCATCTAAGCAACTAAATAAATAATGTGGAAGGTCTGAACCTTATTCATATGAAAGCTGTTTCCGACACGGAATTTAAAAAAGGTCATTGCGACTTTTTATCTCATAATTTTGTTTTGGTCTGAATTCTGACTTTACATTTCATTTTCATTTCTGTCTTCTTTTTTCCCCACCAAATAACATTTTTTAACAACTTTTCATCTCACAATTATGAGTTTATCTCTTATATCTAAAACTGTGAGATGTAACACTTTAAATTTTTATTATATTTTTTATTTCAAATTTACGTCTCACAATTCACATTTTTCTGAATTGTAGTTATATCTCGCAATTCTGACTTCTCTCTTGTAATTGAGATTTTTTTTTCCTCTGAATTCTAAATTTGCATTTTGCAATTCTGTTTCCACCACAAAATAAAACATTTTTAAAAAGTAATTGCAACTTTTTATCTCGCAGTTCTGACTTTCATTCTTGCAATTCTAAGTTAAAAAACTACTCACAATTCTGACTTTTTTTTTCTTAGAACTGCAAGTTTATATCTTTATAAAAGTCAATATTTGTGAGATATGAACTCCATTGACTTGGTTTTGATTTTAGATTAAAATTTGAAAACAATGTCACACATCGAAAGAATCTTACAGCAGCGACATCATAATATTTGCATGCTGAACCATGATTGGTTGATATTTTTCTAAATGTCACACTATTTTTTGCATGCATTATTTCCCTCAGAAAAGGCAAGTTTAGTTTAAATGATTTGGTTTGGTCTGTATATTGGTCTTGATCAACAGTCCTTATTCAGAGGACAAAACGGCGAGGTTTGAATAACGGGTGCATGTGTCTCTCCTCATTCTGTTTTCATCAGCCCATCCCCCCGTTCTTGCAGATTAGAATTCATTAACAATCAAAGAGCCTCTGTGGAACTCCTGTTCTTAATTACCCACTCATTTGCATTTTTGCATATTAATGACTGCAGAGTTTGCCGCCTGACTGCGGCAGTGAGCGAGGCTTTAAAGTCACCCCGTCTTTTTATTCTCACATGCCGACTGCGGGGCAAATACCCCGATTCGGTGTGAAAACAAGACGCGCCCCATCACGACCCCATACACAGGTCACTAGTAAAAATCCCTGACCGGGCCAAAACCTTCACACTTTCACCCACAGATTTGCCACAGATGCTAGTAATAGTGAGAGTACACCGCATGTTATAATGAGTTCATGAGTCATGCACTGCTCAGTATTTCTGTCTTGTTTTCCAGTACAAATATCTAAAAATCTAACCTTAGTTTACAAGACACCACTAGATCTAATAGTGACTGAAGGAATAGTTCACCCGGAAATTAACATCTACTGAAAATGTACCACAGATCAAGCAGCGTTTACAAGCCAAAACAGCTCTAAACAAATATGTGGCTGGATTTTGATGTGAGAGACAACAGGAGATGCACTTTTTCACTGGAGGAAGCGTTATTATGGACTCATATTAAAAACATCTTGATGGATGTGTTCCAGCTTTTGTCTTCTCCAGATGTTCACTGATGGACTGGAGTGCTGTGGATTATTGTGATGTTTTTATCAGCTGTTTGGACTCTCATTCTGACGGCACCCATTCACTGCAGAGCATCCATTGCTGAGACACTGATGCAATGCGTGAATGAGTGAATTTTCAGCAGATTTTAATTTTAAGATTAAATATTCTTTGAATAAAATATGTTGTCTATTCTCCCACTGTAGGCTTCCTTCTTAAGAAAACATTCTTACAACAGTAAGAATTATGTAAAAATATGTTTTCAAAGACTTCTAAGAAAATGGACAAATGCATGTGTGAATGAACCAGAGACCTCAATAAAAGATTCATACTAGAAAATTCCATGGACAATTTTTGAAATACAGGAGTCAAAATATTCATTCATTATTGATGCTTGACTCACGTTCAGGGCGTTGGCTCAAAAACATGAAAACATTATGTTGAAAATCTAAGTAAATAAGCATGCTATTATTTGGAGATATGCAGCATCACTAACATCTGTTTAGTTGAATGTTCCTTGTGAAATTTAGACATTTGGCTTCAATTACTGGTTAACTGTGTCAAATATCTCTATACTGCCGCCTGCTGGCTGACACAGGTGTCACATCCCAACATGAGTGCAAATTTGGGCAACATGGCTAAAAAATCACTTTGGCAAACTCTTACCATAAACTGGTTTTGAAGATGAACCGGTGTGATCTGGATCAGGAAATCACTACACTTTCTCTGAGGGACATCAATACAAACAATTATTAGACTTCCTCATTCAAGAATCAGTATTAACGCTGCACTTTTCAGACAAATCGGGTGAAAAATCCCACACTTACATTGAAGTCGTATCTAGAGAGCAGAAATCCCGAGGCTGCAGACAGTCTTGAACACCAAATACAAGCAAAGCACTAGAAAAGCTATTTAGTAACTGCTAAGCAAACACCCTAGCATCATCATCAATCATTAATGACCAAATGTGACCCTGGAGCACAAAAGCAGTCATAAGTAGCACAGGTATATTTGTAGCAATAGCCAACAATACATTGTATGGGTCACAATTATACATTTCTCTTTTATGCCAAAAATCATTAGGATATTAAGTAAAGATCATGTTCCATGAAGATATTTAGTAAATTTCCTACTGTAAATATATTAAAACTTAATGTTTGATTAGTAATATGCATTGCTAAAAACTTCATTTGAACAACTTTAAAGATGATTTTCTCAATATTTAGATTTTTTTGCACCCTCAGATTCCAGATTTTCAAATAGTTTCATCTCAGCCAAATATTGTCCTATCATAACAAACCATACATCAATGGAACGATTATTTATCCAATTTCCAAAAATTGACCATTATGACTGGTTTTGTGGTCCAGGGTCACAAATGACGAATCAGATTACATAATAAAATAAAAAAAAAAATACATATATAAAACATTTATCAATAAACAGAGCCATTATACATACATGGAACAATGAAGATTTGTTTTTAAGTTACTGACTATGAAATGTCAGTCTTTATTTTGAAAAAGATTGTGATGCCAAACGTGTTTGTAAAACTAAAATAGCCCAGATTTGATATTAAGTCGCAACTGCTTCTCACTTCCATTTGAAACAACAACAACAACCCAGAATCAGTTCATCCCTCTACAATCACTTTATTGAGTCTTTAAAGCAACAACTGTCTGTAGTTGATGTCTGTGGGAAACGTAAGAATGAACATACAACTAAATCAAAAGAAAAATGAATGAAAAAGACCAGACTTTAAGCTTGTGCATTGTGACATTTTCAAGACAATTAACCAAAACTTCATTTTTGTAATTTCAGCCATTCTTCATAATTATTTTTGTTGGTGAATTACATTACAGTAACTGTACTTTTGCGTACTACAGTACAAAATACTACTGCAAGTACTAGTAATGAAATTATAATGTAACAATTAAAGGCAGTACAACAAATACTACCATACAGGACTTTACTTCATAATTTAATAATATTTCATTGTTTTTTTGGGGGGGCAAATGCACTTTTTTGGCAAGACAAAGATCACATGATGCAAGATCTTAATTTTCTTTCATCAAAATACATGCATCTCTTGTTTCTTTGTTTTGAGCATCAAATGTTCATGTTCTTGACTGGATCCATGAGATTCACCCATGAATATTGAAGTCAAAGTGTAAAATAAGCAGCTTTGCAGGTGTTCCATCAGACAGGCTGTAAACGTTTGTATTCTGTAGGGGAATCGTGGGTTGTGTGTGTGTGTGTGTGTGAGAGAGAGAGAG